ACAACAGTGTCTATTTTCTTTCCTTCTACTTTCGCTTTTTACTCTAGTACAGTATTCCCCCCCCCCTTTCTTTCCTTCTTTGGTTTTTATTAGTGGCACCTTCCCCCCTCTTTTTAGTCACTATATTTTTGTTTTGTTTTAAAGTCTTTTATCAATAACTCTGTCTTTGTTCTTTCTGTTCCGTTTCTCGCCCTTCTTTCCTGCCTTTCTCTCCTACTTTCAGCTTCTTCCGCCCTTCTGGACTCTCTCGCTGCTCCTCCTATCGCTTTTCCTTCTCCTTGTTGGTCCCGCCTCTGCTGGTTGCTGCTGGTCCCGCCTCTGCTGGTTGCTTCCTCCTTGTCTCCTCTCTCCACGTGACCTCCTCTGTAGCCTCAGCAGTTTCACTTCCTCGTTGCGTCAGCCCTCTCCGCTCGTCCCCGTTGCTCTCAAATCTCGGAAACTGCCTCCAGCTGGATCCTCAGTAGCTCGCCTCTCATCCCCGTCGCTTCCTGCCCTCGAAATCACCTCCAGCTGGCTGGTCCGGAGCTCCCAATCTCTTAAAGAGACAATCAACTGGTTAGCTTTAATTTCCTTATGTTATTGCCTTCTAATTTTGCTTGCTATGCGTCTTTTAATTAAGTTACTTTATACAGCTTATCTTCCTCTGGCCCTTATTTCATTGCTTATTGCTTTCTTATAATATAGACGCTTATAAGTTTAACCTCTCCTTCCCCTTATTTAACCCTTCTCCCCACTTAGTTCCTTTTACTTATAATAACTTAAATTAAGTTCATGGACACTTAGCTTCGTTTTGCAGTTCTCTTCTTTGTGTGGTATTGATGTTATTCCACTCCTTGCGGTCTTCTTGGGCTCGCCTTGTGCTCGGCAAGGGGAAACCCCCCCCCGCCGGCTTCTCTCGCACTTCTGCCTCGAGACAAAAAACCTTAGTCCAGAAAGAAACGCCACTTCTTCTGGTTGTTTTTAAGTCCCTTGCAAGTAATCTCTCAAAAACAAAAGAGTACCCTGGCTACAAAAATTGCCAAAGAAGTGTGAGTTTTGGATAGTAATGCACGGAGCTCCTCTGCGCACGTCTATCCTCGCCGAGCTCAGCGAGAGTTTTTCTTTATGTACACTTTTTTTATATGTTTTATCTAAATTAGGGTTAATAACCATATTTAAATCAGTACCTATTAATATATTTCCTGTGGCAAAATTTTGTAGTTTTTCTAATACATCTTTAATATAACAATGTTGTTCCGTATTAGGTACATAAATTGATGCTATGGTTAAGGGGAGATCATTTAGCATGCCCTTAACAAATACATATCTTCCTTTTTTATCTATTTCAGTATGTTGAGCTAGAAATGGAATGTTTCTAGAAATTAAGATTGCTACTCCTCTAGCATTTGATGTTCCTGGAGCTTGGTAGCTTTGTTCAAACCATCTTGTTTTCAAGAGATGAGGTCTATTAACCTTTTGATGGGTTTCTTGTAGGCAAAGAATATCTGGTCTTTCTTTATTCATTAGGTTTGTAGTCCTCCTGATCTTAATAGGATTATTTAATCCTCTACAGTTCCAAGTAATGAATTTATAACCTTGAGACATTGTAGTTACTTTTATTCTGTTTATGTTATATGCTTGCTTCCTTATCCTTTAAATACAACTAACTATAAACTGTAACAACCCTAGATCTTCCTAGAGTCAAATTTCCAGAGGCTCCTAAAAGGAGAATAGGGTGACTTAATATGTCTCCCTGTCCGGAAATTTAAATAAAATTCAATATAAAATCAACCTACAAAATAAATTAGGGGGAAAAAAGGGAAAAGGGAAAAGGAAAAAAGAAAAAAGAAAAATGTGGGCTATGTGGTGTTGTTCTTTAAATAAACTATATATCGCCCCCTCGCTCCCCCTCCTCATACCTTTGCTTAGTTGACTTCTTTAGATATCAAAATGAATTATTATTTATCAAAAAAAGTTTTTTCTTTTTCTCACACATACTTTTACTTATAAGCTATTAGATCTTTTTAAGTTGGTTGTTTCTCTTTTCTAATCAATTATAAAGTTATATTTGATTTCTCCCCCTTCTTCTTTAGCTTAGTATAATCCTTCAATAAGAATTAATTAAATTAAATTAAAAGCATCTACACATATTAAATTTCCAACATTAATAATATCAAATAAGAATAGGCTTCACATTCAGCATTATTAATTTTTATAAAATAAATTCTTTGGCCGTTACAATATAAAATAAAAGTTACAAGGATTCTCAATATTAAATGCAAATAAAATGAGCTTTACCATCAGCCTTATTAAATTTCATAACATATATTTCAATATTAAGCTTTATTATAAGAAACAAATATAAAATATAAAAAACGTTGCTCAGTACTATTCAGTGATCCTTGTCATTTCCCACATAAATAAACATATTATGCTTAAATCCAGCATCCTTAAATTAACTATTTATTAAGATAAAAATAAAAAGCTTTCCTTCAGTTATTTCTAACTATATAAGGCTTGATCCTTTAAGCAATGTTAACATGAAATACAAAACAGTCCTTTATAACATTATTAACTTTGGTAATTTCTTTTATAGACAAAATAGTTCTAGCTTTCAGTTTTTACAATTATAACTTCAACATCATAAAATAAAAACTCTTTACCTATTATTAATATAAATATGCTTCAATTTTAATGTTTTTCATCTTAAACTCAGGGATATAGCTTTAACTTCAGCTTTAAACAATACCTTTATCTTCATCTTAAACTCAGGGATATAACTTTAACTTCAGCTTTAAACAATATTTTTATAACTTTTTCTGTATTAAAAATATAACATATGCTTTAATTTCAGCTAAAATAAGCTTCTGTTATTAATGTTCAAAATATTATCAATATAAGAAATGAACATTTATTTAACAGTGAGATTTGAATCATATACTTATCACTTCACAATGTAAATTCAGGTTTTTGGTGCGTCATCTTCCGTTGTCGGCCATTTTAGGCCCAGTTCAGTCAGCAATTCTCTCCCTGTTGTCTCATCAGAAGCTTGGTATAAAGTACCGTTTCGGTAGACTTGTATCTGGGATGATGCGCTCCATCTAAAGCGGATCTTTGCAGCAAAAAGTGTAGACGCAACAGCTTTGAGGTTCCTCCGTTTCTCCAGAGTTTCTGCGGATAGATCTGGAAGAACTTGTACCTTTTTTCCTTTGTATCTCAAAGAGCCGTGGATTCTGGCCTCCTTTAATATTTTATCTCGTGATCTTGGGTGCAAGAATTGAGCCACGATGTCCCGAGGTCATCCTTTTCTAGCTGATGCCAATGGACCTAGTCGGTATGCTTTTGTAATAACCGGCGCTACACCTTCTTCCAAATCCAGGGCTGAGGAAAGCCATGTTGATATGAAGCTTGGAAGGTTTGTTCCTTCTTCTTCGCCTTCCTCTATCCCTCGAAACTTCAGGTTGTACTGGCGCCAGCGGTTTTCCAGTGTTGTCAGTCTGATAGTTGTTAATTTTTCTGATGCTCTCAAGGCTTTCACTTCTTCTTGCAGATTTAATACAGCTTCAGCCGTTGTTTCAGCTATCCGTGCTGTGTCTTGCAAGTCCGTAGTTAGCTCCGATAGGTGTGTTTGTATAGGTTTCATCAGGTCAGTGGCCATTGAAGACAGAGACTTTAGTAGATCTTCCTTTAGTTCTTGTAATTCCTTTTTATTTAGCGGGTTCAAGGCGTCAGAGCTATTTTGTGGGTCGTTCTTTTCTCCGGTCGCCATTTTGTCTTCTGTCTCTGTGGCGTGTTTGCAATTAGGTGAAGTGGAGTTTTGCTGGAAAAAACTCTGTACTGACGAAGTTTGAGATGGTTTCTGAGTTGGCTTTGTTTTAGTCTGCTTTCCCATCTCTTTTCTTCAGTTTTTTTCACGTGTGAGCGATTTTAATCCGGTATGAGGAGAGGAGGCTAGAGGAGCAGTTCTAAGACACGTCCACCATTGCTCGTGTCGCTCCGCCCCCCCCATTCTAGTTTTTACTTGTTTTGAAATGTAATGTTTCTAAGTTTTAAAATACTGCTTTCCTTTTATTGGTAATCCTGAGCATGATTCCTTGGAAGAAAAGTCCACTGACATTACTACAGCTTTAAAACATCAACACAGGCAGAACAAGAAGAGGAAACCGCAAGAACCATTTCCACCCCCCAAATAAATTGCAGAGAGTTTCCAGCTGTCCCGCGCAGCCCTCTTAGAATATTCACCAGGCTTCTTACAGAACTTAATTAAAAATTACACAACCCCAATCTTTTTTGTTTAACCAAATTAAATTCCCCTGGTCTGGGGAGATTCCATCCCCCCCCCCACACGGAAGGTTGGTTGTCGGCTGACGGATGGCTCCCGCAAAGCAGGCTTGGAGTTTAATGCAATTTTGTTGTGGAGCAGAGCTGGCGCTGCAGACAGAAGACTTGCCTGTTAGTTGCGTTTGCACCCGGCCTGATTGGGATGGCAGGAAAATTGAAGCGGCTAATCCTTTTAAACCTAAACCTATGCTTGAGATTAACACAAGAAGGCGGAAGGTTTAAGAGGCTGCCGAGGGGGGGGGCTGTGTCTGTACAGCTGCTGCAAGCAGTTCTTGACTCTGCTGACGGCGGCAACAACGTCCTACAAGGCCGGCGAGGGGAGGGCGGGGCGGGGGGGAGAGGGAGAGACAGGCAGACACGGAGCCTTCTGCTTTCCCTTCCAGCCTGCACAGCCATGCCATTCTGGGTCCCCCGGACTTGCTCCCACTAGGCTCCATGTCTGCCCGTCTCTCCCTCTCCCCCCGCCCCGCCCTCCCCTCGCCGGCCTTGCAGGACGTTGTTGCCGCCGCCGCCAAGCAGAGCAATCCATCTGCGGAAAGGAAAGCGGTTCTTGTTTATTATGGCGCCCGCTGCCCCGCCGCCACCGCCTCCGGGGAGCCGGGGAGGAGAAATTAATGCTTCCCCCCCTGCCGCTGGAAGTCTGGAGAGCCTGAGTACAGGGACCAGGCAGAAGGCACCGAGCCCGCGACTCGCAGCCCAGTGGCTGGAAGCAAAAGCAGAAGGCTCCGTGTCTGCCCGTCTCTCCCTCTCCCCCCCCACACCCCGCCCCGCCCTCCCCTCACCGGCCTTGCAGGACGTTGTTGCCGCCGCCGAGCAGAGCGATCCCCCTGTGGAAAGGCAAGCGGTTCTCGTCGACTGTGGTGCCCGCTGCCCCAGTGCTGCCCTCGCCGCCTCCAGCCACGGCGCCATTGTTGGTGCCGCTGTTGCCGGCTGCGACGGCCGAGGCAGTGCCGGGGGCGGTGCTCGTGGACCCGGTGCTAGGTCCCCCGCCGGGAGGCGGAGGTGGCCACCGAGGTGTTGCTGGTGGTGCCGTCTTCGGCTGAGGCGCAGGTGTTGAAGGAGGAGGTACATGCAGATCTCCCTCTTGCTGCGGAGGGGGGGCGCTGGACGGGCTCTTTTTTCCCACATTCGCTCTATAAGACGCACACACTTTTCCCGCCACTTTTTTGGGGTGAAAAAGTGCATCTTATGGTCCGAAAAATACGGTATTTCCTATCTATAGGGCTAGGAGGAAAACATATGAACAAGAAACTTAAGAAAAGAATAAGAAAACATTTTTCTTTATACAAGGTTAATACTATCATGTAACAAGTAGTAAATATGTAGCTATAAAAGATTAATGAATATAACTATAAGAATATAATTATATGGTTTGGAGTATTAATCAATTTCACTTTCTTTATAGCTCCTCTAACAGCTGTATTGAATCAATGTAGTTTGTCTGTAGTAATTACAAAAGGCTCTCCACTTATTCTCAAATTCAGTGATAGGCTTTTTGTTTATATAGTTTATCATTTTTGCCATAACAGCATATTCCTCCATTTTGTCTCTCCAGTTCTCAAGATTTGGCCAGATTTCAGACTTCCACTTGGTTGCAAATACTATTCATGCTATGGTTAACATATATCTGAACAGTTCATGCTCTAATCTATTTATATTAGATGGTAAAATTCCTAATAGCATAGTCTAAGGTTTCATGGGAAGGTTTAAGTTTAAGATTTTCTGATGTTGGGAAGTTGAAGAAGCGGCTGAAGGTGGGAGGGGAGACGGGCCGGGTGCCGAGCGCTCGATCGGCGGCTCCGTGACAGGGAGGGCAATCTTACAAAATGTCAAAAGAAGAGGCCAAGGCGATCCCCGTGAGGGTGGCTGTCAGATTGTGGGACTGACAGAACTCGAGGTGACTTGCGCTCAAGAGACGGTCATCTGCCTGGAGCAGGGGAACAATTCTCGGACGGTGGCTGCCACAGCGATGAACACGCAGTCGTCTCGATCCCACGCAATCTTCACCATTTTTGTTGAACAGAGAAGCAAGAAGGACACGAATGTCAGCCTCCATTCCAAGCTGCACCTTGTGGATTTGGCTGGCTCAGAACGACAAAAGAAGACCAAAGCAGAAGGAGATCGGCTAATGGAAGGAATCAACATTAACAAAAGCCTCCTCTGCCTGGGAAACGACATCAGTGCTCTTGGGGATGAAACCAAGCGAGGCAACCATGTCCCTTATAGGGACTCGAAGCTCACGCGCCTCTTGCAAAATTCCCTGGGAGGCAACAGCCACACTCTGATGATCGCCTGCGTCAGCCCAGCGGATTCCAACCTGGAAGAGACATAAGAACATAAGAGGCGCCAATGTTGGATCAGGCCAAAGGCCCATCCAGTCCAACACTCTGTGTCACACAGTGGCCAGAAATACCAGTGCCATCAGGAGGTCCAGCAGTGGGGCCAGGACATTAGAAGCCCTCCCACTGTTGACCCCCCCAAGCACCAAGAAGACAGAGCATCACTTGCCCCAGAGCCCCTATCTATACCTTGTGGCTAATATCCACTGATGGACCTCTGCTCCATATGCTTATCTAATTCCCTTTTGAAGCCGTCCATGCTTGTAGCCGCCACCACTTCCTGTGGCAGTGAATTCCATGTGTTAATCACTCTTTGGGTGAAGAAGTACTTCCTTTTATCCGTTCTAACCCGACCGCTCTGCAGTTTCATGGAGTGCCCATGAGTTCTTGTATTGTGAGAAAGGGAGAAAAGTACCTCTTTCTCTACCTGCTCTTTCCCATGCATAATCTTATAAACCTCGATCATGTCACCCCTCAGTCGTCGTTTCTCCAAGCTAAAGAGCCCTAAGCGCTTTAACCTTTCCTCATAGGGAAAGTGTTGTTCCAACCCTTTTATCATTTGAGTTGCCCTTTTCTGCACTTTTTCCAAAGCTATAATATCCTTTTTAAGGTGTGGTGACCAGAACTGCACACAGTATTCCAAATGAGGTCTCACCATTGATTTATATAGGGGCATTATTATATTGGCTGATCTGTTTTCAATACCCTTCCTAATAATCCCCAGCATAGCATTGGCCTTCTTTATTGCAGTCACACACTGTCTCGACATTTTCAGTGAGTTATCCACTACAACTCCAAGATCTCTCTCTTGCTCAGTCTCTGCCAGTTCAGACCCCATCAATGTGTATTTATATTTAGGATTTTTGGCTCCAATGTGCATCACCTTGCACTTGGCCACATTGAACCCCATTTGCCATGTTGACGCCCACTCGCCCATCCTTGACAGATCCCCTTGGAGTGCCTCACAATCCTCACTGGTTTTCACCACCCTGAACAACTTTGTATCATCCGCAAATTTAGCCACTTCACTGCTTACTCCCATCTCCAAATCATTAATGAACAAGTTAAAAAGCAGTGGACCAAGTACTGATCCCTGCGGTACCCCACTGCTTACCACCCTCCACTGAGAAAATTGCCCATTTATACTCACTCTCTGTTTTCTATGAATTAGCCAGTTTTTGATCCATAAAAGGACTTGTCCTTCTATCCCATGATTTTTGAGCTTACTTAGGAGCCTTTGATGAGGAACTTTATCAAAAGCTTTCTGGAAGTCAAGGTAAATAATATCTATTGGATCCCCCTTGTCCACATGTTTGTTCACCCCCTCAAAGAACACTAACAGGTTAGTGAGACAAGATCTTCCCTTACAGAAACCGTGCTGAGTCTGCCTCAATAGGTTTTGTTCATCTATGTGCCTACTAATTCTTTCCTTAATAATGGTTTCCACCAATTTACCCGGTATCGACGTCAGACTGACTGGCCTGTAATTTCCCGGATCTCCTCTGGAACCCTTTTTAAAGATGGGAGTGACATTAGCTACCTTCCAATCCTCAGGAATGGAGGCAGATTTTAAGGAAAGATTACATATCTTTGTCAGGAGATCTACAAGTTCACATTTGAGTTCTTTCAGAACTCTCGGATGTATGCCATCTGGGCCTGGTGATTTTTCAGTTTTTAAGTTGTCTATCAGTTTTAGGACCTCCTCTCTCATCACCTCAATCTGACTCAGGTCTTCCAACACCCCTCCTGAAATCAGTGGTTCTGGAGTGGGCAAGCACTTCTCATCTTCCACAGTGAAGACGGAGGCAAAAAATGCATTTAGCTTCTCAGCCATTTCCCTATCATCCTTCAATACTCCTTTTACCCCTTGGTCGTCCAAGGGCCCCACTGCCTCCCTGGCTGGTTTCCTGTTTCTAATGTATTTGAAGAAAGTTTTATTGTTGGTTTTTACGTTTTTTGCTATATGCTCCTCATATTCCCTTTTTGCCTGCCTGACCTCAGACTTGCATTTTATTTGCCATAGCCTGTGTTCCGTTTTATCAGCCTCACTGTGACTAGCTTTCCACTGCTTAAAGGAATTCTTTTTACTTTTTACAGCCTCCATTACTCTGTTTGTTAACCATGCAGGCTTTTTCCTATACCTGTTTGTGCCTTTCCTAACCTGCGGAATATATATTTTTTGAGCTTCTAGGATCGTAGTTTTAAATAGATCCCAAGCTTCCCCAATTGTTTTGACCCTTTCTACTTTTCCTTTCAGTTTCCTCCCCACGTGTCCCCTCATATCAGAGAAATTACCCCTTTTAAAGTTAAAAATGGTTGTGTGAGTCTTTTTGGCCAATTCTCTATTTGTACAAATGATGAACTCAACAACATTATGATCACTGTTTCCAAGCGGTGCAATCACTTTTACATCTCTCACCAGGTCTTGAGTGTTACTTAGGACCAAATCAAGGATCGCCTCTCCCCTGGTAGGTTCCGTGACCATCTGCTCCATAGCACAGTCATTTAGAGTGTCTAGAAACTCAATCTCTTTTTCCCGACTAGAACACATATTGACCCAATCAATGTGTGGGTAGTTAAAATCACCTATTATTACACAGTGTTTTTGTCTAGTTGCTATCTTTAAGGCATTCATCATTTTATAATCCTCCTCTATCTTTTGATCTGGTGGGCGATAACAAACTCCCAGTGTTAAGTTTCCTTTTGGCCCCCCTATTTCAACCCATAGAACTTCCAGAAGCGAATCCAATTCACTTAGCCTCTCAATCTTTCTAGACTTTATACCCTCTCTGACATACAGAGCTACCCCACCTCCAACCCTTCCCCCCCTATCCTTCCGATATAATATATAACCGGGAATCACTGTGTCCCACTGATTTTCCTCATCCCACCAAGTTTCAGAAATACCCACAATGTCTATTTTTCCCTCCGACACCAAGCACTCCAACTCCCCGATTTTACCTCGGACACTTCTAGCATTTGTATAGAAACAGCTGTAATTTCCCTTACAAGTTAAGCCTGCATCCTTCCTCTTGCTATCTCGAGTCGTTGTCCGGCAGTCCATGTCACCAGCCATGGCCTCTGTGGACAATTTCAATCCACCTCCCTGTAGAAAAGCAACCGGTACCCCCTCACCTCTCTCAGATGAGCCAACCCGAACCAGAGACTTTTCATCTCCTGTCGGCTTTCCCCCAATATTCAGTTTAAAAGCTGCTCTGCCACCTTTTTGATTTTAAGTGCCAGCAGCCTGGTTCCTTCTCGGGACAAGTGGAGACCGTCTCGCCTGTACAGCTCCCTCTTGTTCCAAAAAGTATCCCAGTGCCTAACAAACCTGAACCCTTCCCCCCTACACCATCGTCTCATCCACGCATTGAGACTCCTGATCTCTGCCTGTCTCTCCGGCCCTGCGCGTGGAACAGGTAACACTTCTGAGAAGGCTACCTTGGAGGTCCTGGACCTAAGTTTCCTGCCCAGCAGCCTAAATTTCTCCTCCAGGACCTCACGACTGCATTTCCCCACATCGTTGGTGCCGACATGCACCACGACCACTGGCTCCTCCCCAGCACTATCTACCAGCCTATCTAAAACACGCGTAATGTCCGCTACCTTCGCACCAGGCAGGCAAGTCACCATACGGTCAGTACGCGGGTTCGCCACCCAGCTGTCTACCTGCCTAAGGATCGAATCACCCACTACCAAGAGCCCCCCTCCCACCCTGCTCAGGGATGGTTCCTTGGTGCAAAAGGAGAGCCGCTCACCAGCTGGGGAAGAGGTCCCTTCTGAGGGCACATTCCCCTTATCCTCAGCATGGTGCCCTGTTTCCCCTAGACCCTCATGCTCCCTGACAGCAGCGGGGCTGCCAGATCCAGAGTGGGACGAAGCTAACAAGTCCCCGAGAGTCTTTTCTGTGTGCCTAGCTGACTGTCTCTGCTTCTCCAGGTCAGCCACCTTGGCCTCAAGGGAGCACACACGTTCCCTGAGAACCAGGAGCTCCTTGCACCGAGGACACACCCAAGACTTCTGCCCAGTGGGCAGATAGTCATACATGTGACACTCCGTGCAAAACACTGGATAGCCCCCAACCCCCTGCTGGCATTCTGGCTTCATAATTCTTTTAAAATAAATAAATATAATCCCCCTTTTAAACCCTTGGTATTTATGTGGGTTTTGTTATCAAGTCAAATTATTTTACGGGAAAGACAAAGAGCCTAGGGCCTTGTCTTTCTGGCTCTTTTTGGGCTTCTTACAGCGCCCCTAGTCTAAGAGTCCCTAGGCTAAGAGCCACAGGCAAAGAGCCCTTTAGCTCACCCTTCGGCTCGTGCCAGAGGCTCGTGCCTCTGCCAAGGTGTTTCCTTAAATAGAGGCCTCCCCCAGCAGAGGTCAGGCAGCAGCTATTCAAATTCAAATTCACCCAGGCACTCAATCACAGGCAAAACAATGCCCCTTCCACTTCCTCTCAATTACAGGCAATCCCAGTCAAACAGTGCCCGTTCCTCTCCCACACTCAATCAGCCAGGACTCTGCAAGAACTCTAAGTGCTTCCACACACTGCTAAACACAGTTTTCCCACAAAATATCCTTAGCTGAATTCTCTCAGCTGAAAGCAAGTAAAAGAAACCCACTCACCTCTCTCACAGCTCTCTCTCCTGCTCCTGCTCAGAGCTCAGCTGGGTCTCCTCTGCCTCTGGCAAGGTGCTTCCTTAAATAGAGGCCTCCCCCAGCAGAGGTCAGGCAGCAGCTATTCAAATTCACCCAGGCACTCAATCACAGGCAAAACAATGCCCCTTCCACTTCCTCTCAATTACAGTCAATCCCAGTCAAACAATGCCCCTTCCTCCCTCAATCAGCCAGGACTTTGCAACAACTCTAAGTGCTTCCACACACTGCAAAACACAGTTTTCCTACACAATATCCTCAGCTGAATCCTCTCAGCTGAAAGCAAGTTTAAAAAAAACCACTCACCCCTCTAGCAGCTCTCTTTCCTGCTCCTGCTCAGAGCTCAGCTGGGTCTCCTCTGCCTCTGGCAAGGTGCTTCCTTAAATAGAGGCCTCCCCCAGCAGAGGTCAGGCAGCAGCTATTCAAATTCACCCAGGCACTCAATCACAGGCAAAACAATGTCCCTTCCACTTCCTCTCAATTACAGTCAATCCCAGTCAAACAATGCCCCTTCCTCCCTCAATCAGCCAGGACTTTGCAACAACTCTAAGTGCTTCCACACACTGCAAAACACAGTTTTCCCACACAATATCCTCAGCTGAATCCTCTCAGCTGAAAGCAAATTAAAAAAAAACCACTCACCCCTCTAGCAGCTCTCTCTCCTGCTCCTGCTCAGAGCTCAGAGCTCCTGCTCAGAGCTCAGACCCTGAACACCCTTCGCTACGCCGACTGGGCGAGGAAAATAAAGAATAAGCCCGTAGTGAACGTTGACCCCCAGGCAGCAGAGATCAACCAGTTGAGGCTGCAGGTTCAACAGCTTCAGGTCTTACTGCTCCAGGCTCATGGTGGGACACTTCCAGTGTCTATTGGTGGGGAACCGTCGGAAAACTTGCAGCCCATGATGGAGAGGAACCAGGCCCTGGCGGAGGAGAATGAGAAACTGAGCCGGGGCTTGAGTGAGGCCGCCGGCCAGATCGCCCAAATGCTCGAGAGGATCATTATGACGGAGCAGCAGAACGAGAAGATCAACGCTAAGCTGGAGGAGCTCCAGCAGCACGAAGCATTGAAACTGGATCTGCAGAAGCTGCACGAGGTTCTGGAGGATGACGAGCTAAAGCAGCACGTGGAGCTGGTTTGCAGCAAGCGATTGAACGAAAGTCCTCCCGGCAATGCCGAAATGGACACGTCCAAACAGGACTCTGGGGCTCTTGCGGAAGCCAGCCTGGGTGACCAGAGCGCGTCAGAGGAATACACCACCCGGCACGCTCTCCACCAGGCCCAGATGTCCAAAGAGCTGCTGGAGCTCAACAAAGCCCTGGCTCTGAAGGAAGCCCTGGCGAGGAAGATGACTCAGAATGACAGCCAGCTGGAGCCCATTCAGTGCCAATACCAGACTAATATCAAAGACTTGGAGGTGGAAGTTGCCAAGCTGCAGAAAGAGAAAGAAGTTTTAATTTTTTAAAATAATTTTTTTTAAAAAAAAGTTTAAGATTTTCTGCATTTCAGTATGTATTTCAACCCAGAATTTGTTGGTCTTTTTGCAGGACCACCACATACAGTAAAATGTGCCATCCGTCTTTTAATATTTCAAGCACTTTCCTTTGCAATTTTATCCATCTTCTTAATATCTTTGGGAGTAATATACCAATGGTAGAACATCTTGTACCAATTTTCTCTGAGTGCTTGACTCACTGTAAACTTTATATCTTTCATCCATAAGCTTTCCTACTGCTGAAGTGAAACTTCATCAAAATTCTGCATCCATTTCACCATGCATGTCTTAACCTGTTCTGTTTCTGTATCATTTTGAAGTAGAAGTTTATAGGTATAGGTTTCCTTTGCTCGAAAACCAGTTGAATCCGACTATAGGGTTGCGGTGCTCATCTCCGTTTCCAAGCCGAAGAGCCAGCGCTGTTCGAAGACGTTTCTGTGGTCATGTGGCTGGCATGACTAAATGCCAAGACACACGGAATGTTGTTACCTTCCCATCAAAGCGGTACCTATTTATCTACTTGCAATTTCTTGCTTTCGAACTGCTAGGTTGGCAAGAGCTGGAACTAGAGACGGTAGCTCACTCCGTCATGCAGCACTTCGGTCTTGAACTGCTGAACTACCAACCTTCCAGCCTGCAGTTCAGCGTCTTAACCACTTGGGTTACCGCAGCTCCTAGAAGTTTATAAATGTGACCTATTATGTTTTCAAATTCTGCTAAATCCCTTGGTTTATCCTTTTCTGCACACATTGCTTCTTTAAGCCTTGAGGTAAATTGAAGATAAGTTAGCCATTGTTTCTTTTTTCCTTCTTCATTCATTGTCTGCCAGGATTTGATTTTGCCTTGAGAATTGATCATATCTTAGTATGAAATAAAATTAGAGTTTTTTCTTGCAGGTTTATCATAATATGCATCTATTGGAGACTTTATAGGTGAGATTGGTGGGCTAACTCTTGTTTTCATACACTGCGAAATTTTCAGTAGACTATCTAAAATTACATGGCCCTTCATTGCCTATTTTAATTATTTATCTGTTTGTTTTATTCCCAGTCAGATCCACTGTGTCCAGTTTCATCAATCTTTCATTCAGATTTTCGATCCAACTGGAAATCCACAACAGGCTGGCTACCTGCACATGGAAAATTAGATGGGTTCTAATTTAACCTTGCTCCAAGATATTAGCTTTCTGTAAAATTTGAATTTTTTTTGGGGGGGGGGCTGGAATAGAACGGAGTAGTTGCAATCTCCTCACGTTGTCCAAAGTCTATACGGGTCTATATGGAAATTTACCACTTCAGTTAGAACTTTACCACTTCAGTTAGAACTGTTCCAAAGTGAGGGATCCTAGTTGGAAAATTCCTGGTAATTTTGTCAGTGGGGCATGGGGAGGGCAGGGTTTGTGAAGGGGAGGGATCTCAGCAGGGTCTAATGCCATGGAGTTCCCCCTCCAAAGCAGCTATTTTCTCCAGGGAGCTCATCTTTGTCATTTGGAGATCATCTGTAATTCCAGGAGATCTCCAAGTCCCACTCAGAAGCTGACAACCATAGTTCCTAGACTAGACTGGAACAAGCTTGCAAGCATGGAGGCATGGAGATGTTTAAATCTAACAAGATTAATGGACATTCTAGATAAAGTCAGGATTGAAGAAAAGCTCAGTACTTTGACATGACTTGAAGTGGTTCTGAATAAGTTAAAATCTTTAATTTTAGTAAGATCAGGGGTCATTTCGGGGGGGGGGACGCGAGGGGACGCCATCCCCCCGGGTGAGGTGCGGGGGGCGGGGCACAGGAAGCCCCGCCCCCTGCTTCCGGCCACCCTCTGCTTCCCTCTCATTCAATCACAGGAGGAGCTGGAGGTATATGCTAATGAGTTATGTTAATGAGTCCCCCTAGCTCTTTTTCTAGGAAATGACCCCTGAGTAAGATGTAATGTCTGGTATTGCTTTGTTCCTATAGATTTGGTGTTTGTTGACTTGTAATGATAATTTGGAAAGTTAGTAGAATGTATTATATGTATTGTTTATAAAATGTTGAATAAAAAAGTTTTTAAAAAGAATTGGAATGTAAAGTGAGAAGTTTTAGTCAGTTGGTGATTGTTTTGTTTTCCATATTTACTGGCATAATCTTGGCATAAAAAGGCAAATTTAAGAAGGATATAGACAAGCTGGAATGTGTCCAGAGGAGGGCAACTAAGATGCTGAGGGGGTCTGGAGACCAAGTCCTATGAGGAAAGGTTGAAGGAGCTGGGTATGTTTAGTCTGGAGAGGTGATGACTAAGTGTTGATATGATAGCCATCTTCAAGTACTTGAAGGGTTGTCATATAGAGGATGGTATGGAGTTGTTTTCTGTTGCCCCGGAAGGTGGGACCAGAACGGGTTGAAATTAAATCAGAAGAGTTTTTGGCTAAACATCAGGAAGAACGTCCTGACAGAGCGGTTCCTAAGTGGAACAGGCTTCCTCAGGAGGTGGTGGGCTCTCCTTCTTTGTCGCTGTTTAAACAGAGGCTAGATGTCCATCTGTCAGCAATACGGATTCTGTGAAATTAGGCAGATCATGAGAGGAAGGGCAGGAAGGGTTGCATCAGTGCTTAGTTCTTGTGGCCCTTTCTTACACACCCAGGGAAATGCTGATCGCCACTTTGGGGTCAAGAAGCAATTTTTCTCCAAGCCAGTTTGGCTGGAGATCCTTGAGGGGTTTTTTTGTCCTATTCTGGGCATGGAACAGCGATCACTGGGGGTGTGGGGGGAGGTATTTGTGAATTTCCTGTATTGTGCAGTGGGTTGGACTAGATGATTCTGGAGGTCCCTTCCAACTCTATGATTCTATGGTGGCCTGGTAAAAAGTGTGTGAGATGCTGATTGCAAAAACAGATGTGTCTACATAAGACCCATGGAGATAGACCCATGGAGATACTTATTGACTGTTAGAGTTAGTGACTCAGCATGCCTGAAAATCGGAGGGTGCTATATCACTCTGGAAATGTTTCAGAGCAGACTCAATCAAGATTAAGAAAAAATTAGTGTGATAAAAAATTAGGATTGCCCCCATTGTCCAGAAAGCTACTGATTTTGTAGAAACCAAATGGGCTTTCCAAGAAAGAGTGCCACTAAAGATGATACCCAGATATTTAAAGGTTCTGCACTGGTCGATTGGAAAATCATCAACTGACCAGCAGAAATTGTTTTACCACAAGCCAAAAGACATCTTGGTCTTTGAATAATTGATAGTTAAGGACTCTTCTTTACAGTAGTTGCTGAGCCTGTGCCCTTGTGAGTAAGAGCCAGAAGAACCATACCATCTGCATACATAAGAATTTAAATTTTCTGAGAACCCAGGAAGAAGGGCAAAAATCTGGACCAGAAAGTCTCTTAATAACATTAGTATAAAAATTAAAACCTAGCAGTTCGAAAGCAAGAAATTGCAAGTAGATAAATAGGTACCACTTCGGTGGGAAGGTAACAGTATTCCGTGCGCCTTGGTGTTTAGTCATGACGGCCACATGACCACGGAAACGTCTTCGGACAGCGCTGGCTCTTCGGCTTTGAAACGGAGATGAGCACCGCAACCCTAGAGTCGGACTTGACTGGCTTTCGAGCAAGGGAACCTTTACCTTTACTAAAAATTAAAAAGTAAACAATAACTAGATGCAAAAATCACAGTGTATCCACAAAGAAGAACTGTGCCACTGATAGCCTGCCTCTGCCTCCTGGCCCTGAGCCGGCCTTGCTGGGAGGGCGGTGTAAAAATCTAAATAAATAAACATTGTCAGGTTTGTCCTTTCTTATGCATTTTGTACTCTCCCCTCCGCAGCTGCTGCTGCTTCAAGGAAGGAGACAGCCTTCCATTTGTCACCAAAATGATTGAGGGAGGAGCTAGGTTCAGGGGATAAAAAGGTGGGCCCCATTTTTCCCATTTAGGCCCGGGGGGCTGCCTCCTTTGCACGCTTCTGGGCTGTGCAAGGTGTAACATGTAGCAAGGAAAAGCTCAGTTGTTGTGTTAGTCCAAGTAATATATATTTTTTAGGACCAAATTTTTGATGAAAAGTTCTGGAGAATTCAAAACCTGTTTAAGTGTGGTTGGTCTTTAAAAAAACAGTATTACCTGGATTTCGTTTTTTGAATATTTCAAGAAGAGACTCTTTCTGGGAAAATAAGAAGCCACTGTTTTTTTGGCATGTATAGAAAGGGGCTGTCAGAAAGGAAGAATTCACAGAGGCAGGTGACTTACATGGCATTTCATTCATATCACAGATAAAGAACACTTAAAGAAAGGGTTCTCAGTGCTCTGGATACCTGGGTTTATTTATTGATGTTGGGTGTTAGAAGTCAAACCACTTCAGTATTTACAGGGTTAATGATGTTTGTTAAGTCACATGTTTGTTTGTAACCAATCTGTTTAGACAATAGAATGCCCGGGAACTTTGGAGCTAATTTGCTAGTCTGATTGGAAACCAAGGTGTCAAGTATTTAGCATATTGGCTTCTCCTTCCGTTCTTTGTTCTGATTGAGAAGGAGATGCCATTCTTCTCTTCCCGTTTTACCTTTTAGCTGTAAGGATGTAGCCATATTAGCTCTTTGTTATTTTATATCCTGTGTACCCAGGGCTCTAGTCGGAGGGGAGCTCTCAGGTACGGAGCTCCGGAAGAGAACCTCTAGGGGGCGGGGCGGTCACGTGGTGAAGCCCCGCCCCCTTCTTTACCCCGCCCTCTGCTTCGATCCTCATTCCATTTGGGAATGAGGATGAAGCAGGAGGGTAAGTAGCCGGGCCTTCTGACACACTTCCGGTGATGTCAGGGGGTGTGGCCTTCTGTCACTTCCGGTGATGTCAGGGGGCGTGGCATATGCAAATAAGTTATGCTAATGAGTTATGCTAATGAGCTCAGGCAGCTCTTTTTCTACAACGAGACCCCTGTGTGTACCTTTTCCCCATGTTAGGTTTATAGTAAACCTTTTATATTTTAAAACACACCATGGACTCAGTCTCTTAATACTCTGCTGACTTACTTAAAAAGAATCCCAACAATTGAAAATGCCAGTTCTGCAATCCCCCCCATCCCATGCAATGAGCAGCTATAGCTCACTGTTAGGTGCCTTCCAGGCATGGTTGTCAACCTCCAGGTGGGGCCTGGAGTTATCTCTGAATTATTGTTGATCTCTAGAGATCATTTCCACTGGAGAAAATGGCTACTTTGGAGGGCAGACAATGACATTATTCCTTACTACGACCCCCTCCCCAGGGCTCCACCCCCAAATCGCCAGAAATTTCCCAACTAGGAACTGGCAACCCCTCTTCAAAGGTTCAGGGCAACAAGGCTCCATATGAATAAAGTGTGGTCTCAGAATCCTCTGCAGAATGCAAGGATTCCCCAGTAAATGTGTGAAAAGGGTAGGAAGGATGCTGAAAAGCCACTTCAGTAGCCTACCCATGGCCCAAATGGCATCCAAGACCCCACCGGCAGCCATCAACCAGGGAGCTGTTCCAACAGGGCCTGGTCTCTGACTAAGCTGCCCAGGCAGCATGACAAGGCGGCACTGATGCGCTGCACGCCCTCAACAGGCCACCGACAGACAGACAAGCCTTCATTGGCATATACATGTAGATACAATAATCTAAATACGAAATCCATGCAGAGTAAAATTAAGAGTTGCAGAATAAACAAAAAGAGTAACAGCAATAAAACCTAATTCATAGTATCACTTATCAGGACTGTGACCATGGCACTGCAAAGAAACTTTGCTCCTATTTCAGTTATTTCTGTATCTGGGTTATCAAGCAAAAAAAAGGACCTGGAAATCATCAGGGGTCTCTAAAAGTTGGGCTAATGTGGGATATAGAAGATCCCGAGGGGGCGCCAGATAGAGGGCAATGGAGTAGAACATGGGCGACAGTTTTCAACACAGTCTTTCATACAAGGACGACACCTCAACAGGCTACTGACTGATCTTTAGGGAGGAGACCGGGCTCACTTCAGAGGGGTGTGAGCCTTGCACTAGCCACGATGGGGATGGATGGATGATCCTTGCTTGGGATGAACAATAAAGAAACTAACTCTAATTAGCCCCGAGTCCCAGCCCTAAGGGGGAAAGCAGGCACGATCGGGACCACCCCCGCCATCTAGGGTTGCCAAGCCTGGTTTGCAAAATACCTGGAGACTTTGGGGGTGGAGCCAGGAGAGGGCGGGGTTTGGGGAGGGGAGGGGCCTCAGCACAGTACAATGCCATTGAGTTCACCCTCCAAAGCAGCCATTTTTTCCAGGGGAGCTGATCTCTTTCGGCTGGGGATCCGTTGTAAAAGCGGGAGATCCCCAGGCCCCACCTGGAGGCTGGCAACCCTACCGCCATCTTCTTGCCCGAACATGCCATGCATCCCATGCACGTTTCTTGCCCATGATTTGCGTAGAACGCTTCCATGAGAAAGCGGACCCTTCTGTGCCCCCTCGTTACTCCTGCACCGCTCAGTCCTCGCGTCCCCTTCTACCCGGCGCTTGTCGGAGCCACGCCGCAGCTACCCTTGACGGCGGCAGAGCTGGAAGTCCCTTTTTCTCGTCGCAAAGGAGGCGGCGGCGGCTGGTTGCCGGAGCCCAGAACTACGCAAGTCCCGCTGGGAAGGCGGCTTGAGGCAGCTGCGTCGGAGTCGAGACACGTGGAGGGAGGCCGTGGGTCGTCGTCGCTGGAGCCGCCCGGCCTGCTCTCTCGCGGGCGCGCCGGTGGAGGCAACAGGCGGCTGGAGGGAATTCTGCCGAAACTCGGAAGGCTTCCCAGGGGCGGCGCCCTCCCGTCGCTCGCAGTCTGGCGAGGGCCGGGCTGCCCTGCCCACCTTCAGCGCCGGCGAGGAGCCGTTGTGCTGGCCTCGAGTCGCTGCTGTGAGCGTCCGTCCGTCCAGTCAGCGCCGCCAAGCAGGTAAAGTCTCTCCAGCTGTGCTGCCCTGTTTCCAAGTTATGCCCGCCTGAAGCCGAAAAACGTATCTGGCACTAGCCCACGGCTTAGTGTGAGAGAAGGCGGGGACGGGCTGGGCTGGAACCGGCAGAAGGTGAATGAGGGTCCCTGGCGCTGCGGAAAGAGGCGGAAACGCTGGGACGAATACTTTAGTTAAGAAAGAACGCCTCTTAAGAGTTAGACGAGGTGTCGTTAGTCGGGGAATAGTCTCTTGTGACCGTGAATCCTTCCTCGTACTCTTGTAGCCTTTCGGCAACAAGTTCTCCTTGGGACGTGCCGCTCGGCCCGCAAAAGGTGTACTGGGAAGCCCGCCCTGCAAACGGGTTTGCGTCTTTTCTCTCCCGCGTCTTAAGGACGGCAGCCTTAATATTTTGCCTCCGCTGACCACCAAGACTAGAGTATCGCCAAGGTCCAAAGGGGTGGAGGGAGTGATGTAAAATGGGTGGAGACACAGGTTTGATAAAAGTAATTTGCAAGAGGGGTCCCCAGATTGGGAGGAAAGCCATCAAGGTAAAAAGGTAAAGGTTCCCTTGCTCGAAAGCCAGTCGAATCCGACTCTAGGGTTGCGGTGCTCATCTCCATTTCCAAGCCGAAGAGCCAGCGCTGTCCAAAGACGTTTCCGTGGTCATGTGGCCGACATGACTAAACACCAAGGCGCACGGAACGCTGTTCCCTTCCCACCAAAGTGGTACCTATTTATCTACTTGCAATTTCTTGCTTTCGAACTGCTAGGTTGGCAGGAGCTGGAACTAGAGACAGGAGCTCACTCCGTCATGCGGCACCCGGGTCTCGAACTGCTGAACTACTGACCTTCCACAGCCTGCAGTTCAGCGTCTTAACCAATTATCCAGGGGAGTCCCAAAGAAGGAATTTGGCCCCCATTGTAACCTAATTGTGGGAGTGGGAGGCCTAGAGGCAGAGCCTCTGTGGTGTGAAGGGGGAGTTAGGAGTCTGTCCCTCTTACCAGACAACCCCCAACAGGACAGTGGTGGCAGCAAATACCCTAGTGGAATGAAATGGAATAGCTGCCTCTAGGAGTTTGGCACGAGCCAAGGAGGGGGTGGGCAGAACAGAGTCTGCAGGCCAGAGCAGGCTGATTCCGTCACAGTGGGTATAAATGGATGGGAGAGCTAGCATGAGAGTCAGGCCTTTAGAATGTCATGCTGAGTTCAGTTCCCCCCAAGCTGTTTGGTGAATCTGTGAATAGGCTTTTAAGACATAGATCTTTTACCAAATCTTCAGGTCTGGGTGATATCCGGGTGTGTGGGGTGGGGTGGTGGACTTTGTACTTCACTCTGCAGATGGGAAATGGTTGAATTCCCTAGAATATGCAAGTGCCTGGGTCTGTTTTTAGATTTAGAGTGGACTGATAATGCTGCTATGCTGAGTAACATGCATAGGCTGCATCAAATTGGTGAAGCTGCACTCATTTAAGCTCCTGCTGAGAGAGGCATGCAAATAATATGGTTTTACTCTGTATCAGCAGAGCATTCATAAGTCATTACAACAAACTCCTGCTGATAAATTGATATCCTGTTGGCCTAGTATGGTAATGTATTGGGATGAAGTTGAAATGGAAGTGTTTTATTCGGTTTTAACTCCAGTTGCTTACTGATTCACAGATGCATGTAGATTATTCAATATCTGGCCACTATAGGTGTGAATTGAGCATTGTGTAGCTGGAGCTTCAAGTTGCTGCAGTGTAGAGTGATTTTTTTTAAATACCTGTGTGTGATGATATCTGTTATAGCATGAAGATTGGAAGTATCAGTTGCTGTCTTTCAAGAGATGGACATATGCATATGACAGCCCTACACTTACAATATTGGAGCTGTACATCCAAACTGCAGCTGTAATGCCACTGTATAACCTGTGAGGTGGTGTGTTTCTGCTTTCTCAAGCCGGGCTGCCAAGTTGTCTTTTAGTTAGATCTTCCTTATCTTTTAAGAAGAAGAGTATGTTTTTATACTCTCCATTTCTCTACCTTAAGGAGTCCCCAAGCTGATTCCCTTCCTCTCCCCACAACAGGCACCTTGTGAGGTAGGTGGGGCTGAGAGAGCTCTGAGAGAACTGTGACTGGCCCAAGGTCACCCAGCAGGCTTCATGTGGAAGAGTAGGAAATCAAACTTGGTCCTCCAGATCAGAGTCTACAGCTCTTAACCACTGCACCATGTTTATCTTTTAAAACAAACAGTCTGAAGAAGCAGAAATCTAACAGGTGTCACTTTGCTGGGCTCTGAGAAGAACTGATAGGAAGAGCTTCATTGACTAAGCTTCTGTTTGCTTGGGAACTGTTGAAGCCTTGCCAGGGGATGAAGTGGGCAATCCAGTCTGTTGAATTTCTCATGGATGGCTGTGGAAAGAGATTGACCCCAAGCCATAACTGACATCCCGGGTATCCTCATTGTGCCTCCACATCCTAAGTTTGCCTCCTGTACTGAGGCTCGCAGTGCAATACGTGAAGTGGAAAGTGATGGCTCTATTGTCCCTGGGAGCAGTTGTCCTTGGGAAAGGGGGAGATGCTCAGTGCTTTCTCTCTGTCTGCCTGCCTTGTGACCAAGAAGGCAGAGAGAACAGCTTAGGATGCTATGGTAATAATCCAGGTTTGATTTCCAATCCTGATGTAATTGTTTTGTAATGCAGACAAAAGTTCCAGATCCTCCATGTTGATTTAATTTAATCTACATCAGGAAATAATTCTACTGATCACTGGATGTGTAAACATGAGGTGTAGTTGGAAGTACAGTGTTCTCCCTGGTTTAGAGGTATGTACTGCAAGACACAGTGATGGACCTGACACATCTTCCCCATCTCTTTGAGTCTGATCTTTCTATTAAAGGGGTTTCTCCTGCTGTGAAGATAGGGGGAAACTTGTGAGTTTCACTCCTGCCCTTTGTGTCCTGAATATGGGTAATGTGGAATGAGTGTTGAACTTTTCCCATGATAACTGGACCAAACTGCTATGTAGGCTTGGAGTGAGGGGAAGGCAGCTTTTTTTTTAAAGGGAGGAAAATGCAGGCATTCATAGAGTTGTTTGGAAACTGTGGTAGCCTCCTTGTATCAGAAACTATTCAGAAGACCTGATTATTTTGGAACCATGATGAAGCTCTGGAGTCATTCCCATAACCTTCCTCAAAAAAACAAAGTTTGGGGAGGCATGCCAAGATGCACAGGTTGAAAAAAGACTCACTACAGACTCTGAGACAGTCCACCTAAGTTTAGATTCTTCTCACTAATTTCCAGCCCATTCCTATGCTTTATGGTGGTTAGGGGAGAATTCCTGGTCTATTTTCAAGACTGCCCCCTTTCATAGGGTTGATCATATTGATTTGTTCTAGGGAATCTTGTTCCCCAGGCATTTCTGGTACAATATTTCATGGTCCTTTCCCTGATTTTCATGACATTTTATTGTAATGATGGTACAGATGCCCCCAGATTGATTCTCCATTATAGCCCATGGGACCCATTGACCATAATGGTCCCCATAGGCTATAATGCAGACAGGGGAAAAAAACATATATTTTTTTGCACACACCTATTATGCATTTCAGTGTGATTTGTAAGCTGCCTTGAGTAACAGGAAAAAGTGGGATATAAATATTTGAATAAATAAGTAGTTTGGGCAGGTTGATAACATTTAAGCAACTTGTTGCAAATTCAGAGGCTGCAGCTAGTGCAGAACGCCACGGCCAGGCTGTTGATGGGCTTACCTAGATGGGAACACATCCAGCTTGTGTTGAAGGCCCTGCACTGGCTGCCAATAGCATACCAAATCCGTTTCAAGGTGCTGGTGCTTACCTTTAAAGCCCTATATGACCAGGGTCCAACATACCTGAGGGACCGCCTTTCCCCACATATACCCCAGAGATCCCTGAGGTCATGGTCTCAGAATCGTCTGACCCTGCCAGGCCCCAAAGAGGCTAGGCTTGCTGTGACGAGGGCCAAGGCTTTCTCAGTGGCGGCTCCTTACTGGTGGAATGAGCTCCCAGAGGAGATCAGGGCCCTGCGGGATCTATTGCAGTTCTGCAGGGCCTGCAAGACGGAGCTCTTCCAGAAGGCCTTCAATTAGGAGCTGCCCCGCCACTACCATCAATGAGCCCGGCCCTCAGTGCCAACATCTGGCCCGTTACATCGAGTGAGTTGGAACGACACTGAGCTGGAATCTAGTTTTCGGAGACATCTTAATATGCCATATTAGCAACAAACTTTAGAACTGAATAGCACCTTACGATTTTATGTTTTAACTTATTATGAAATTATGTATATTGTTTTATTGGCAATTGGGCCACTGCTGTAAGCCGCCCTGAGCCCGTTCACGGGGAGGGCGGGGTATAAATTGAATAAATAAAATAAATAATTTTTTTGTTCAGTTAGGCAGGGTTCTGACAGTGATTGTTCCTCCTCTCTTATACTTGACCTGTAATGCTGGTTGACATTTTTCACTAAAAACACACAAAGTAGACTGCAAGAGTTCCCCTGCCCCCCTAAGTGTCGGCATGTTTTCTAAGGCTCAGCATAAGGCGAGGGTCCAAGGCCAGGTATACTAGTATAGTGGATTGGGATGGATAGACCTGTTCTCTGGAGACCAGGTCTACCAATACAGTGAATAGGGGTGGGTAGACCTGTTCTCCCGTTATTCTTAAAATATAATTTAAATATAATTTAAAATGATTTATTCTGAGATTTTTACAAGGTTATGGAAGTAATCTTTTAAAATTCTAATTGATGTGATAATCAAATGTAGACTTGGACACAACTTTAATGCTACTAGCTTTTTTAGCTCCCGAGGTAGAAATTCTGCTCACAACACTGTGCAGCTTAGAGGGAACATTGCTTAGGTGGAAAATATATCTCAAGGCCTTTGGACTGTATTTAGTACAGATGAAGTGGGGGGCAATACCCATATCCTTCCTATCAGCAAAGTTGAAACACATTCAGTTTTATATTTTCTTTGTTTCAAGTTACTTG